GGCCTCACCATGCGCCATTCACATACTCACCACCTGGTGCACCAGCCTCAGTCCGTTACAGCCGACCCACTGTACTCAGTGCACCATCAAATACCTCAGTCAGCTTCATTTCATGGGCATCCCTTGCATGCCAGGTGAGTTTTCCACATTTTTATTTAAAGGGGTCATATGATGCGATTTCTATTTTTCCTTTTCTTTAGTGTGTTATGTAGTTATTTGTGCATGTATAAGATCTGCAGAGTTACAAAGCTCAAAGTCTCCCACAAAAGGATTTATTCTATCTAAAAGAGAAGGCTGATCCAGACAAACACCTAACACCTCATTCAAACATGCCCCCACATCTCTACGTCACGATGTGGAAATATTTGCGTAACAAATGTTCAGCCATGTCAGGGAGACACTGTTTCTGTGCGAAAGCAAAAGCACTTTATTTGGCCTTCCGAAAGTAGATGCAACGAGGAATCATTGGTTAAGATTTATTTACAACAGAACAGCACAACCCAGATGTTCGAATTTGTGCAACGCTTTTTATGGACGACTGTTTTGTGAACCTAGGAGAGTAGCCTACAAGGCTGGCTGTGCAAAGGCTATTTCTAAAAAAAAAAATGGGTCAATTCCGACTTTGCTATGACAATCTGGCGCTTATTCTGAATCAGCTACTGTATGTTTTCTTAATAGTTTAAGTATTTGCTATTGACTATTCTAATGCGGAGTTTTGCACCGTGTAGAGTATCGTGTCGTGTGTGTGTGCGCGTGAGAGAGAGACAGGGTCACATCACAGTGGAGTCAGTTTTCTTAATCGCGGCTTGTGTACTGCAAATACATACGAGCACCATCACTGTGTCTGTCACGCGACTCTGTTCCCCTTTCGGGCTTGAACTGATGGTAAAACTAAGGACATTATGTACTGTCTTTACATTTATGTTGAAAGCTGAAGCTTGCGATTATTGAAAGGGGCGTTACATTTCCGACGCGTGCTTGTGGTGTTCAGCCAATCACAATGCACTGGGTCAGCTGGCCAATCAGAGCAGACTGTGCTTGTCGGAAGGAGGGGCTTTGTAGAAAATGACACGTTTGAGAGAGGCGGGGCATAGAGGAACTACAATAATGTACAGTATTTGAAAAAGAATGTGTTTTTTGAACATTAAAGCATGTCAGCATATTCTGTTACACCAAATACACCAAATAATGATCTTTAAAATAGCATCATATGACCCCTTTAAAGTTTTTTTTTTTTTTTTTACCCCTGCCAGATGGTGTAGCAATGGCATTTACTAGCGTGAGCAAATGGGGACATGCTTAACCAGCCAAGCCTTGAACTTTTGCCCAAAGATGGCAGCAAATGCTAAAATCCTCCATGAGATATTGCTGCTAATCTTTTCAAAGATTTTCTAAAAGCATTTTAGGATGGTAAATATTTATCCCATATTTTTATCTCTAGAGTGCTTGGAACTTATGAACATTAGACTTCTCCAAGATTATTGTAGCAAAAAGACTGGATCAAATCTGATTATAAGTGGATTTAGAAATAATTTTTACACATCAACTGAGGCTTACCTCTTGTATCCTCACTGGGAAAGATTTATTAAACAGCTGTGCACATTCATCCATTCATACTTGCACGCATACACTTTTGTTCAGTCTCTCTTTAACACAAACATTCACAAACAGATCACATTTAGAGATAACATGTATATAAAACCTCCGGTAGAGTGGACTGCTGATCGGCATGGTGAGGGGAGACCTTAAGGCTGCTCTCCAGAGAGGGGTGGCCTCATGGGCGTGGCAGGTTTTCTAAGGCCTGGTTTATTCAGCATCAAGTGAAAGCATTCGAATTTCCGAGACACTGGCTTTGACAGTATGGTGCCTCCGTGGCAGAGAGTAGAACACAGGACACACAGATATGAGCGCTGTCTGAGGTGAGGCATGGTGTCCTGGCGGGGTTAGATCAGGCTTCCTGGCCAGGACACGACGGTGAGCGCTACCCTGCTCCGCTGCTCCTTCAGCATGGGCACCAGTGCGGAATGACTCATGCCAGCCGTGGACAGACTGTTTACAGCCACTATCATGTCACCACACCTGAATGGGAAACGAAACCAGGCGATCATGTGAATGCAGTGCTAAATGAATCACTGTTTCAATGAATCAGTCAAAACACAACAGATGTTTTTAATCAATCAGTTAAAAGAACAATTCACTCTGAGCTATCAATTTAAGTGACTCTGCAGCTCACTGAATTGGTTGGTTACTGAATTAAGATCTGACCACAAGTACCATTAATGTGTTTTGTGAGACTTAAATCAATCTAAATATTGACTGGCTTTACAGAAGTAAATGAGTGTTTAAAGTTGCTATGTTTATCTTTATAAAAAAAACTTATAGAGACTAGGCTTGCCGCGATAGACGGTGCTGACAGTGATACCGGTGTTAAGCCGCAACACCGGTTATGTCACTTGCCCACCGCGGCACTGACCCCACCGTCGTTTTGATTTTTTATAGTAGTAAAAATCTTTTAGTTCAGAAAAAGAACAGACACTACAATTAAAAACTGAACTCGGCTGCTCAATGCAATGTGCCGAACGACAGTCGCATCACAGATCAGATTTAATTTCTCCAGTGAGGAGAGTGAGTTGAGCTGACTGACAAGAAGAGTGAGGTGAGGTGAGACAGACAAGACGATGGCGGATGATTTAGTTTCGAAACGAGATGCAAAAGCGCCTGTTTGGCAATATTTTGGATTTTGAAAAGCCTGTTGACTTTTGCCGTTTATCTAAGGTGATTTTGGAAGTTTTTTTAAACATTCGTTTCTTATTTAATTGGTTCCACATTGTTTGCTGATTTTTACTTTATTTAAACTTTGTGTAATTTATTTTTTTTTTTTTTTACATCAAGGTGTATGCCGAGCCTCCAAGATTTCTTACTCGTTTTGCTAATAAACATTCTACGTTTCTTATTTATTTGGTTATATATTATACATGTTTACTTAGCCTATTTCCAGTTTTGTATACCTATTTAAACTTTATGTAAGTTATTTGTTATTTTATATTAGGCATAGCCTGCCCTATAGCATGGTGTATTTTTATTTGTTTTGTTAATAAAAGTTCTATGTTTTATATATATAGGCTAAAGTGAGTTTGACATTGTATTTTGTTGTTGCATTCAAGCAATTGACGCCGAACTGCCGCTAATTTGAAATTAAGCTATTTAAAAGCGAAGGAAAGCGAGGAAAAGAGGGGAAATTCAAAGAAACTAAAAACGAACAATTGCTTTACGTCGAATTGACGCTATTTGAAAGTGAAAGTAAAATGTGCAAGCAGCTTTTACAAGCTATTTAAAAGCGAAGGAAAGCGAGGAAAAGAGGGAACGCCCCTCCCCCACGGTGATACCGGTATTACCGATGTTGTCACAAATCGATTAACCGGTGGGAAAATTTCCTCATCGTCACAACCGAGACTTATTTCTATCTACTGGTTGTTGATTGGATGGAGGCGGATCGGCTGAATCCAAGGTTGCAGTTGATTATAATAAAAAAGGGGCGGGGGTTTAATCAGACTAAATGATCGGAGAAGTCATTTCACCAGAAGTTCGAATTAAGACACTTTGATTAAAAATTAAATGGTCAAAAAATAAATAAAAAAATGAACATCTGCATTGATAAATTGTTCACAATAATCACATAGGAAATTTCAATTTCATAAATATTCAACAAAGTTCCATTGTAACAGTAATTTATTAATAAAAAAGTAATAAAAAATGTAAAATAAAAAAATAAAAAAATAAATAATTTATAAATATAATATTATTATAAATATTTTATGAATATTATGATACAATAAATTATATTCATTTATTAATCGTTAATTTAATTAATAAATATATTCATTAAATAATAATTGTAATTAAATAAGTTAGAAAAAATAGTAGTGTTTTTGTTTAGTATATACAAAAAATAATCTTTTATGCAACACTGATGGCCAGAGATGTAAGCTTGCTTTTTAACATTTTAATCAAGGTAATGCTGAAAGTGCTGTCTCATCTAGCCATGAAGCATTAGGTCATTGTTTATTGTTTATTTTGTTGTGCTTGCTCACTTTAGACGGCCATCGTAGTAAGCGGGTGTTCCAAGGACGATAGTCTTGATAAAGAACGCCTGGTTGCTGTGGTTCTCCTCATAACCTCCAACAATGCTGAAGCCCCAGCTGCCAGGGTGACTTCTGCGGAGGACGATCTCATGACTGCTATGCAGGTAGCTGTGACAGAGAACCAGAAAAACAGAGAACGATGTGGATAAACAAGTAAGCATCATCAGAAAATACATTTCCCCGCCCCCCCATCTGTTTTATCGCCCAGAAATCAAAAGTTGTATTTCAGATTGCTTAGAAACTAGGCGACGAAGAGAAATCAGGAGCACAAAAGGAGAAACACAAAAAAACAGATGCTATATAGATATATAGAAACAGAGATATATAGAAATGGAGGATTTGGCACAATGACAGAGAGGGAGAAGGAAACAGAAGGGTGCCAAAGCAAAGGGGACGGATGATAAAGGACAGAAGGGAGGGTAGAGTAAAAAAGGAGGGAGTGAGACTGGACTGAATGACCTGAGACTGGGCTGAAGTGGGCTAGGAGCAAGTTATCTCCACATGTACGCTTCATCTGATAATCTGCAGCTGTTGATGTTTACATCACGACACAGTCATAATCCCCTCGTGGGTTAGCACTGCATAAAGCTGCTGATCCAAAACACATCAACACTACAGATATTTTCTGTGTCCAAGTCATCAAAATAGCTGCATTCTCTCCCTTCAAAGCTGTTTCCACTCAGATTCGGATGGGGAAAAAAGTAGGTGAACCTGGCATTATGGTAGTGTAAACTTGGCCAGATTGCTTTGACTATTTTAGGGTTATTTGGATCAGTGCTCAGCAAGGTGAGAATGCTATTTTAAGCCTCCCAGTGGAGTTCAAAGAGAGCCATTTGGACTCTTCCAAAAGTACATCCACTTTAATAGCCCCAAGTCGCTTTTTTTCCATTCATCAAACAATCTCCCAAGTGAAGTTCTACAAAATCTGATTGACTGCACTCTTACCTGGGAAGTCCAAGCCACATGATCCATGAAGGCGACCAGCTTGCGTCATAGTCGTTTTCGTGCGGAGGGAGAAGTTCTTCGTCCGGGCCTGGTTCTTCAAATGTGTTCACCTCTAGTGCGCTCAGCTGGACAGAGCAGGACGCGGCGCTGGACTTCAGAGTGCCCACTGCCTCGCTGTGGCTCAGATAGGTCAAATCTTGACCATTAATACTCAACAGTACATCCCCTGAGCAATGAGAGACAACAAAGACACTTAGAGACACTCCTAACAGCCACACAGAGAGGACTGAAACACGGCTGAAGCCCCATGGAGACAGGTTTCGCTTAAGTGCACTTCATCATCAGAGACACGAGTGGGAAACAGTGTATTCCTCAAAAACAATCTCATGAGTGTTTTTTTTTTAGTTAATCAGACACAATCAGTGTAGTCTGATTCCCAAATGAATGACTCTAATTACTCAGTTCTTTTTAGTAAACCAAGCACATGCAGCACAACCAGTTTAGTCTGATTTCTGAAATAATGAGTTGGTTTTATTTTAGTGAATCAAACACATAAAGTACAACCAGTGTAGTCTGATTCTCAAAGGAATGAGTCGGGTCTTTTTAGTGATTTAAACACATACAGCACAGTCAGTGTAGTCTGATTTCCAAAGGAATGACTCTGTTCTTCTTGGTTATTTAAACACATACAGCACAATCAGTGTAGTCTGATTTTTAAATTAATGAGTCGGTTCTATTTCGTAAATTAAATACAATGGCACAACCAGTGTAGTCTGATCCTGAAAAAATGAGTTGGTTCTTTATAGTAAACAGTTGAATTACTGAAATAAATGAACTTTTCCACGACATTCTTATTTATTGAGATGCACCTGTACAGTGCATTCAGTGTAGTCTGATTCCTGAATGAATGAGTCAGTTCACTTTAGTGAATCAGACACATACAGCACAACCAGTGTAGTCTGATTTCTGAAAAAATTAATTGGTTCTTTACAGTAAATCAAACACATACAACACAACCAGTGTAGACTGATTCCTGAAGAAATAATTCTAGTGAGTCAGTTCTTCTTAGTGAATCAGACACATACAGCACAACCAGTGTAGTCTGATTCCTGAAAAAATGAATTGGTTCTTTACAGTAAATCAAACACATACAGCACAACCAGTGTAGTCTGATTTCTGAAAAAATGAATTGGTCCTTTACAGTAAATCAAACACATACAACACAACCAGTGTAGTCTGATTACCGAAAAAATTAATTAGTTCTTTACAGTAAATCAAACACATACAACACAACCAGTGTAGTCTGATTACCGAAAAAATTAATTAGTTCTTTACAGTAAATCAAACACATACAACACAACCAGTGTAGTCTGATTACCGAAAAAATTAATTAGTTCTTTACAGTAAATCAAACACATACAACACAACCAGTGTAGTCTGATTCCTGAATGAATGAGTCAGTTCATTTTAGTGAATCAAACACATACAGCGCAACCAGTGTAGTCTGATACCTGAATGAATGACTTTAATGAGTTGGTTAATTTTAGTGAATCAAACACAAGCAGCTTACAACTAATTGAGACTTGAATAAGTGTCTCTAAAAAGACTGAAATATCACTAAATACACCTTTTGTGAGATTTGTTTTAAATGTATTTATTTATTATTAAACTCATCTCATTATTTGGAGTAGAATTGCTAACAAAAACAAGCATTATTTTTTCCTCTGAATAACATGAATCATTTGCAATAAGACTAGTAGTATGTATTAAGAAAGTGAACAGGCTCAATGTTGAAGTCATTTTGATGGTGGGTCCACAAACTTGCTTAAACTTGGGTCAAGATTATCTAGATACTAATTTAAGAAAAAAATGGGTTTATGTAACTTACCACGTTTGATTCGTCCATCACGTGACAGGCAGCCATGGGGCTGGACGCTTGTGACAAAGATCGGCAACTCTCCGCTCTTGCTGCCCCGTCCCCCTGCCACAGTCATACCCAGAGACTCATGCAGTTCCTTCTTCACAGTGATGTGTTTCTCCTTACAGGTCACACACTGGGAGAGATCCTACAAAACACAAGCATCAAATCTAAATTTGTCTCAGATATGGAGAAGGAAAAAGGGAAGACCATTTCTAAATCAACACTGATCGGCTCTCAGTAGAGTGCTGTTCACCTTCCCAAAGGGAGCAGCTCTACTCCAACTTCGTAATTGATCTCATAATAGATTCAACAAGGAGTAATTAAGGTTGTGGTCTGAACTCATGGAAAAACTGGAAGCTACCCAGATGCTTCGGAAATAGGGCTCCCTAATTACGTCTCCACGATGCTAAAATAGATTCTGCAACACACACAGACTTGCTCTCGCTCTTGGCCGTAGCCATTTGTACTCACTCTCTGGGTGGAAGACCTGGCAAGGTGCAGACTTGGGACGGGGCTTGGGGTCGCAGTGCAGGGAAGCGGCGGAATGTGTTCATGGCTCCAAACGTCCCTGGTCAAGGTGGAGCCTATGTGCACGGCCATAGTCTGCTTGCTGGACCGGCTAATCAGCAGATTGACTCTTTCTCCACTAGCCTAGAAGATGACAGTAGGCGGTCTGTATAAATACCTAATACTCTTATATTGAGTGCCGAGGTGGCTTTATATCCAACAAAGACAGTCTGCTGCCTGCCAGTGCTATTCCTAATAATGTTTTAGCTGCCCTTTCTCTGTGTGATCGGGGCAGCCAGATGGGAGAAAGCTGCTCACGTAGACATAAAGATACTATCAATCACATTACCCTCTGAGCAGGGCAGCAGAGACGGTGTCCTAATGTCCCAAACAGGCACTGAGATTTGCACAGATGACAATAGCTGTATTATTATGAGAATATTTATTCGAGGAAACTAGATGTTTATTTTCTGAAGAAAATGTGAGCGGTGTTGCTGGAGCAAAAGTCACCACCACACTAGGGTAGTTGTCAGGATGAACTATGTGGTTGCTAGGGTGTTGCTAGGTTGTTACTGACCAGTTTTCTGGGCTCTAGATATGGCTGAAGCCCTCTTTCAGTGTAAGTCTATGGATTGTTTTCATCCAATATTTCAGAATGCAGAATATATTGGAAATCATATTAGTTAGTGGCCGATATTAGACATTTTCGTATCGTATTACCTAATTATCTAAAACATGTGCTAACCATGTGTTAATTTAAATACAGCTAAAATAAGATATAAATATCACATGAAAAACTTAACTTAACTGAAAATTTGAAATGTAAAAATAAAACTGAAATAAAATACAATTATTTTTTTATAGAAATATAAAAACAAAAACTAATTAAAATGACAAGAGAACAACTACAATGACAGTGAAGCTGAGAATATAAAAATTAAGCTAATTCAAAATATTAATAAATTATATAGTAGTACGTAAGTGCTAATAAAAATAACATAGATGATTAGATTACTTTTGCCATCATCTATTGCTCAATTAATGTTTAACAACATGCTGAAATAAAATAAAATAAATATTAGAAGAAAAACTTACCAAAAACTTAAATTGAAATGAGAAATGTTGCCATGGAAGCTAAATGAAATAAAATAATTTTTTTCGAAGTAAAACATTTACTAAAACTAAAAATGAAATAAAATACAGCTAAAGCTAATTAAAAAAAAATTAAATGATGAGAAAATAACAAAATTACTACACTTACAATAAAAACTACAAATATAAAAATGAAGTAATTAAAAATATTAGTAAATACTATAAAACTTAAACAATACTAAAATAACACTAAAATGAAATAAACAAAAGTAATTAAATTACCTTTGCTGTCATCTATTGCTCACTTAAAGTTAATGTTTAACAATGATAATTGAATAACACTGTTAAAAGTAAACTTTATCAAATCTCAAAATGAATATCTAGATTTCATACTTTACATTATAATGCTGTGATGCTTAAATTCAGTTTTAGTTCTTAGCATTTTATTTTTCATTTATATAGAAAACAGAGTATAGATATCTATATATATATTTTAATATCAGCCATTTATCAGTTAGCAAAGGTCTACTAGCGTCCTTATCTTTACCTGAACTGCCCCGCACACATGCTTTCTCTCTACCTGTATAATCTGAGCTGCCTGCTCAGGCGTGCCATGTCTCAGGTCATGCTCGTTGACGGCCAGCACTCTGTCGTTGCTGCAAAGTCGTCCGTCTCTAGCGGCTAACCCTCCCTCCAGCAAGTCCAGGATAAACACACCCGCTTCATCTGTACGCCGCACCAGCTTGATCCCTAGCTGCTCTGATGATTCCCGCTTGTGCAGGGTGATGCGTATGCTGGCAGGGCTGCCCTTGGGTGTAGCAGTCGCCACAGGTGGCCTGGCAGAACAGCGGCACTCTCTCAGAACCGTCAACTGCAGGGTGGTGCAGGGACGGGCCAGGGTAGAGCGAGCAAAGTGATGGGGCACGTTACTGATGTCTACGTTGTTCACCTGCACACGAATGGGAAATGTAGAGGAGAAATGAATGGAGTTGACATACGGGCCAAGCTTTTGTGTGAGTAGTTGCAATGAGCTGTTAGTGACGAAGAGATTTTTTTTGTGTTTTATATTTTTGATAAAACAAAGCTTTTCAGCTTTTAGTTATAATATGTATTATAGTTTAACTTAATTTGTTATTAATTATTTAATGTACACTACTGCTCAAAATGTAAAAGATTTTGTATGTTTTTGAAAGAAGTCTCTTATTTACCAAAAGTAAGTAAAAACAGTAATATTGTGCAACATTATTACAATTTAAAATTGTTTTCTATTTGAATACATTTTCAAATGTATTATATTTCTGTGAATTTTCAGTGTCACGTGATCCTTCAGAAATCATGATAATATGCTGATTTGCTGCTTAAGAAACCTTTCTTATCAGTGTTGAAAATGGTTGTGCTGCTTAATATTTTAGGTGAAACCATGATACATTTCTTTCAGGATTCTCAGATTAATATATAAAGTTCAAAAGAACAGCATTTATTTGAAGAAAAAAAAAAAAAAAATTTAAAGGGATACACATATATATATACTGTATACCTTATAATACATATAAATGTCTTTATTGTCACCCTTAATCAGTTTAATGCTTCCTTGCTGAATAAAAGTATTAATTTCTATAAAAACATCAACAAAATGTTTAATAAATCTCCTAATTGTCAAATATCAAATTCTGTCTAATTCATTTCATTTAATAATTTTGTCTAATTCTGTTTATATATAGATGCAGTTTAAATTAAATTATATCTCAGTTGTTCGAACTGAAACAATTATATCATTAAAAAGGAGAGATGTTCCTTTTTTAGTCAATGCATGAAGCTTAAAATGTATTTCTGGGTCGAAATGATGGAGCAGGTCACATATTTTGGTGAATGTCAGTTTGAAGAATGCTGTTCTGCATCTATTCATGCAGATAGTGATTCTGCAGCCACTATTCATTAGAGCTCTTTAGAGATTGATTAAAGTATCAGGGCTGATCTGTAAATAGCAGTGAAATGTCTTTTTTAATCAGACGGTTATTGTGGAACAGCAAGGACAATACCTGAAGTATTTGGTCACCAGCCAGCAGCCGTCCGTCTCGAGCTATAACACCGTCCCGGTACACTTCCTGTATTACCACATTTATCAGAGGGGTCTCGTTTCCACCGACAATACTTATGCCCAGCTCTGTGTAGGGGTTTGCACGATGAATTTCAATAGTTGTGATTTCTCCCTCAGGTAGAGATGGAAGTTTCACACAACCTGAAGAACAAGACATATGGAACCCAAACAAAGGTATTTAAAGGGACAGTTCACCCAAAAATGAAAATGTTGTCATCATTTATTCACTCTCATGCCATTCCAAACCTGTATGAGTTTCTTTCTTATGTTGAACATACAAGAAGATATTTTGAAGAATGCTGGTAATCGAACAGTTTATTGTCCCCATTGACTTCCATAGTATAGAAAAAAATACTATGGAAGTCTGTGGGGACCAGCAGCTGTTTGGTAGTGGAGTAACAATAACTGCTTTGCTGATAATTGACCATCCAAGCTGTAGATAAGTTTGTTTCTTCATTGGAACAGATTTGGAGAAATTAAACATTACATCACTTGTTCAGTAATGAATCCTCTGCAGTGAATGGGTGCCGTCAGAATGAGAGTCCAAACAGCTTATAAGAAACATCACAATAGTAATTCACAAGTAATCGACATGGCTCCAGCCCATCAATTAATGTCTTGTGAAGTGAAAAGCTGCGTGTTTGTAAGAAACAAATCAATCA